AAAAAAAAATTATTTTTGGAGGTTATAATCCAACATGTAGTACATCTAAATACATAGAATAAGAAGTTGTGTTGCAATAGGGTGTGTGTATAGTTGTCGTGGCCCAATTCAGATACTTGCCCTTCACCAGAAAATTTCACCTCTCCTTAAGTCTCAAGAGTGGTTCAGTCCAAGATGGAAAAATATTTAAATCTGTTCAAACACAAGTTTCATGTTATTTCATTGAATAAATGGAATAAAATAAAAAGCCTGGCCTCCCCAAATATTTTCTTTATGTGGTGCTACATTTTCACCATAGTTTTTTCTCTTTGGGAAAGGTTAACTCGCAAATGTATTTCTGAGGAGGATTAATGCATTAAATTGTTAGGATTTATTAGTATCATCTATTATTACATTAATTCAGATTAATAATTTTTCTAATGGACAACAAATAAGAGACGTATGGGAGATGAAATAGAGAAAATTAGGATGGCTGAGTGCTCTGGGAGATGAGCTTTATCTGAATTGTACCAGGATGCAGGGAAAAGAACACAAGAGGGCACTAAGTGTCTACATATGACCATGAAGACTCTGGGTGTCTCTAAGGAGAAAGGCTAATGGAGAGTTTGCTGTCTTGACAGTATAGCCTAGATCTGGCCCTGGAAAATGTGATAGTATGAAGTAGTCATAAACATTAAATAGTAAATGTAGTAGGAAATATGTTTACATATACAAATTTAAAATTTATAAAATTCTGTTAGTTGCCAGGAGTTGAGCTGAGCTTAAAATATTTGGAGATAGAGGTTTTAGAAACCATTTGACATTATGTTTCGTTTCACTTTTTCCTTCTTCATTAGGATTAGAAGTTTTTTAAGTGGAATATAGGGGAAAACACAGTGTCCTTCTATATATGGTAATGAAGATCAGTATCTGGTCCTAGCAAAGTTATGACTTAGTAGATAGAGGTCATCTATGGAGAAAGTTGTATTTACTACTTTCTGGGCAAATTGAAGGTATTAGTTGTTTTATATAGGTCTTTAAAGAAACATTTACTTTTGGGGGTCAGGTCTTTCTGATTCTTAGTATCTTAAGTAATGTCATGCTTGTGGGTTGTTTATTTATTGCATATTAATACATGAATAAAATTTCAGTGAAATAAAATTACAGGTTACCAGATTGTCTCCTATTTTAAGAATCATTATAGTTCGTGTGGGATATGTGTGTTGGTTTTCTTTCTAGAAAATATATAAATTACTTATTTGGTGTCACATATTTTATACTATGAACTTGAAAGTGTCTTTGTAACTATCAATTCTTCAATTTTGAGAAACATTAGATGTGTTTTAATCATTTTATAGATAGTGTCTACCTTAAATGTTGCACAAAATGAAAGTACAGAGAAAGTATTTAAATCTTTTTAAGGTCAGCATTAGAATATTTTACTTTTAAGAAAATAGGCCCAGGGATTAAGCTTTGTATTCTTACTAGCTTCAACTTGAGGTAGTTTTCTAAGGCAATTGTGTTAAAGTCAGTAGTGAGATTTAGAACTTCAATTTCTTTTTTTTCTTTGATGAAGAAGCAGGTGCTTGGAGTCAGTTAAGTCATTTGAAAAACTACTTTTTTCAAGTTTACGATGAAATGTCCATTGAAGAGAATACAGAACAGCACAAGAAAGAAAATTAAGAATGATCTATAATCTCACCAGTCGGAGATAAACACTACTAACATTTTGAGGTTTAAATTCTAGTTATTTACATACTTAAGTACACATATTGTAGTTAATACAAATGAAGTTGTAGCAGATAATTTGTAAAATGAGATTTTTCATGTACTTGAAAGTAAATTCTGCTTTGCTGATCTGATTAAACCAATTCTAGTTATTTACATACTTAAGTACACATATTGTAGTTAATACAAATGAAGTTGTAGCAGATAGTTTGTAAAATGAGATTTTTCATGTACTTGAAAGTAAATTCTGCTTTGCTGATCTGATTAAACATTTTTTATTAAAGCCTGAAACATGTTATTAAAAATGTTTTGCATCTTTTAAAAGTGATAATGGTTACTTTTAGCAAGTTTACATTTCTTACTATTATAGTAATGTTTTATTTTTTATTTTTTATTTTTTTAATTGAAAAATAATTGATTAAACATATTTGCGGGATACAGAAATACCTGTGTACAATGTGTGATGATCAAATCAGGATAATTAGCGTGTTCATCATTACAGAATGTGATTATTCCTTGTATCCATTAACACATTTCTTGATAGCCCCCCTTCCCCCCTGCCTTTCTCACCTCTAGTAACCACAGCTCTGTTCTCTCATTCTGAAAGTTCAGTGTATTATTGTGATTACAGCAATGTTTTAAAGATCCATTTCTTTACGTTCCTCAACTATAATTTATATGAGACACTTATTAAATACTTTTTTGATTTGCTTAAAAAAAGAAAAAAACCTGTTTTAAGTGTTTCAGGGAGAATTAGAGCAGATTTTAGAAGATCATGAGATTAGTTTTTGTGCATATTACACTTAAGGTGTCTTTGAAACATCCTTGAGAAGACATATCAAGTAAACAGTTGCATGTGCATCCTGGAGTTCAGAGGTGAGGTCTTGGCTGGAGACAGAAAATATGTGAGTCACCAGGGTAGTGGTGGTGATTGAAGCTGTGGGCATGGATAAGATTGTCAGGGGAGAGGATAGAGATGGAGAAGAGGAGAGAGCTTGGGAAGAGGAGAGACCTGAAGGCTAGAAAGTTAGAAGGGAAGCAGAGAAAGGTGAAGTCAGGGAAGCTGAGGGAAGAGAGTGTTTCTAGGACAACTGAACTGGATCCAGGTAACTCGATGGGCCTGGAAAATGTCCACGTGATTTAGTGACATGGAAGTTGTTTATGGCCCTTGATTGGATGGAGGGCAATTTCTGTTGAATGATTAAAGGGGAGAGTGGGAGGTTAGTAAATGGAGAGGGAAATATGGATAATACGCGGGTACTTCCAAAAGGTCGTGGAAAGATAGAATGGAAAGATAATTAGAATCATCCCATGAACTTTTTGAAGTGCCCTTGTACTTCTGAAGTGTTGAGAAGTTCGGTTGTGAAGCGAGGGGAGAGACTGGGCAGAGTTTGGAAGAATAGAAGATGTTAAACGAAGGTTCTTTTTAAGTGGGAGAAAGAAGAAAATTTTAGTTTAAAAAAGCTATCTGTAAGTGAGAGGTTAAATTTAAAAAATAGCACTTTTTTTCTCCATAATAATTCCAATAATTACATAACTTTTGTTTTAGATTAGAGTTTATAATTATAGTATTATAAGAGGCCACGTTGTATTTTAAAGTTGATAGCAAAAGAATTCTGTTTGCTTACCTTACTTTTGACTCTTAGCAGTCTCTGATATTTACTTCCATTTTTTGAAATATTTATATATAATATATATAAAATATATACAAACTGTTATATCTTAATTTTATCTTGGATATCTGTCGACTTTCTTTTATGGTAGATTCATTTTTAATGTTTTCATTATGATTCTGTAAATTATTTGCACCTAACAAATATTATGCATATTTCCTTTCATGTACTTTTTCGTTTTTGTTCTAGCATTGATAATCCTCATTTTTTTTCATTTACTTCATTTTCTTTGAGCATCTGACCAGGTCTTTATACTCTGTGTAACTCTGTAAATGCCTATCAAAACAAGTTTCTACATTGTTAATGCTCTTAGATAAATTTATCAGTGCCATTTTTTTTCTCTCCTGGAGACTTTCTTCCTGGATTTAACTTGTTCCCCTTTTCTAAACTGGTTACTCTTTGTTATCCCAATACTTCTCTTTCCCATCATATTGGTAATTTCTTTTTCTTCTTTCCCATATCAGATCCCGTTTCTGGATCTTAGGTCTTTCTTTTTCTTGATTTTCTACCTTGTTTTGGTGGCTCAGATCCTTTCATGGACTCACTTTTTAGTGTTTTCAACCTTTCTAGGCAGGTGCATAAGAGGTGATCATATTTTTGGGCTCTTGGATATTTGAAAATGCCTTTATTTTATTATCAGATTTAATGGATAGTTTAGCTGGAAGATGGGTAGAATTTTAATTTGAAAATATGGCTCATTACTGTGTTGTTTTTTCCTTCATATTAGCTTACCAGTAAACTGAATATTTAGACAGGCCAGGATCAGTAGTCATTAGGACTTATTTCATGATGAAGATTTATGCATCTAGAGATTTTTCTGTATGATTCAGTTCTTACCTTTTGAAAAAAATGATTATACATAGAGTCTGATGTAGGAGTTGTAATTCTTCTGCCAAGTCTAGATTATATTGTATAAAATTCTCCCCATACCAAATATCACTTTCAAGCATGGTCTTGAATTGAATGAAAAATGGAAAAATGAATTCAATTCTAGTTTGAAGAATTTAAAAAATATATTGATGTGATTTTTAGTAAAAAAAATGGTCAGCAACTTCAGACTTCTATTTTTCTTAAGAAATATTGAAAGTTGAATTCTAACAGCAATCTTCAAGATTTAATATTATAGAATTCCAATGTCTCAGGTGAAAAAAGAAATAGAAAAGTTACTTAATAATTACATCAGACAGTAAAAACAATTACCTCTTTAAAAACAATTTTGCTGGGCCGGCCCAGTGGCGCACTGCTATAGTGCGCTGCTTTGGAAGTGCTGCGGCGCTCCCGCCGAGGGTTCGGATCCCACATACAGACCGGTTCCCGCTCA